TAAACACCATTATCCAACCCCCCAAAACAAACAGAAATGAAGAATGATATACTACCTATTGGTATGCTTACCCAAACTCTAAGACTAAAATTCAATTTCAAACTCAGCCTAAGGCCTTATTTAAAGCCAAATGAATATGTTTTTCTTCATTTCAGGCTTAAGGATCTTTGCATTTCTATCTAAGGCCAAGGTTTTCCTTTACCTCCCCTCTGGGGATTCTGCAAATTGATTTGTAAATGAACATACAAGGGACATGCCTCAAGTGCAACGGCCCCAGCTCTGGGTCCCTTCTGTAGGAAGTCTGCTGCGTTTTCAGGGAGGATGGAGCTTAACCCTGAGTTTACATTTCCTGCTCTAAGAGACCTCCTCTCTCTATAGCTATTATTATTGTGGCTTTCAGTTTTTCAGACAAAGAATAAGAAGTCAAATGCCAGGAAGTTTAGAAGTCCGGAAATATAAAAGTTGTCTCTTCCAGCTGATATTTCTATGTAATAATGGCCAGTAACAATAACTCTAAAGGTTACACTTAAGGGTATTTCCTGTGTGTGTGATGTTTATAAGCATTATTTCTATCCTAACTTGCCAAGGACCTCTTACTGCCATTGTCTAATAACACACAAGTCGTAAGTGGGAGACCGGCTAATATCCAATACCCTGGCCCCTCGACTCTCTCAGGTGCCATAATCAAGCTTTGTAATATTCACTATATATAAATATGTAGGATACTTGTGGATATTTGTGCCCTTCTAGCATTAAGTGATACTGAGTGGAAACCCTGGGGCATTTATTACATCTACTCTGAATTAGTAAAATTATTTATATTACTCACATTCACGTATTAATTAGAAAGCACTAATATAAAAGTTCCTAAAAATGCCACTCCCACACAAATTCGCTCATTTGAGAAATTTGCATTTTTGTCTTTTTTAACTTTTAAAATGAATATATAACTTATATACAAAAAAGCACATAAATTATAAGTGTATAATTTGTAGATTTTTAAAATGCATGCATACTCCCATGTTACCACTATCCCAATAATGAAACAGAACACTTTCAGCATTCTAGAAGGTTCCCAGTCCTGAGCATTTGCCCAGTCAATAAATACCCTCCAGTGATAACCATCATTATGAGATG